GTAGAACACTTGCTGTTCATTTTAGTGGCAATAGATACTGAAACAAAATTTGATAAAGTTTTGTCAGAATGTGAAAATTATGACTAACCGACCCATGCCCCATGCACAGTTGCAGTGCTACATTTTAGCATTATCATCTTGGGCTAAAGGGAAAATCCTGACATTCTGAAAATCCTCAAAGTGGCAGAGGATGATTGCTTCCCAGCACAGCTAAAAAAAAAAGGAGAAGATGTCAAGACGGTTAACCACATCACCATATGCTTTGTGCTTACTGAAACAGGTTTGCATGTGAGACATGCTAGAGGCCTTAGTCGATTAACCCGAAAAGCCGATCAAATGAGAAAGTTAATGAGATTTTTTAAGAGTTGCAACTTTTGTACACTCTGAACAAGTTTGAATGTATTAGCCCTAATGGTGTAAATCATTGGGGAAATGATGTCAATTCTTATTTTCTCTCAGCTGATGTGGTTGCTCACTGTCGATGGAAGTAGACAAAAATTCTTGTTAACTCTTTTCAACTATCAGTCTGTTTAGTTGTAGCCCTAATATTCACGATGGTTAGGCACATTGGACATTCTGCACTCAAGTCTTTGTTTATACTGAACCTTAAGTTAGAGAGTGAATAATGATTTACTAGGCAGTAGTTTCAAAGGAAAAAAAGGTGGAACAAACTGTTCATTGTTAATTAATTGATTGATTAATTAATTGATTGACCAAGAAGTTAAACGCTAAAAGATTTTTAAACACATTTAAAAAAGCGAACGACATTTCGGCGCTACGTCACGCCATTATCAAGATAAAAAGTGAATACGAATACAAAAAAGTCATTTTCTAACTCTCTCCTGTCACGTAAATTAATTAATTAATTAATTAATTGCATCGATTCCTTTTGAAAAATCTCGATCGTGATTGGTTCTCTGTTCGCCTGTTGTCACGTTAATCAGCACACAATCACATGGGTGTCCAATTACAACTTTATGTAATTGGATACCTAAGCCATTCGCACGTCAATTACGCACGCTTTAATGGCTTTCTTCTTAATGTTTCCTACATTTTTTTTAAAACTTATGGAAAGTACTACTGTCTTTTTCGCTCAAAACAATTTTTTTTTTATTTCGAAATTTGTTATAGATACGATTTATTAGTACCTGTACCTTGCTTCATACAATTAGGAGAGTAATTGTGCTCGTAATTTCAAATCGGCCTCGCGCTTTTGCGCTCACCCGATTTTGACATTTCTCGCGCGATTACTCCCTGAATTGTACTCCTCTCGGTCCAGTTACTATTACTAATGTTATATCTATTTATAACAACGCTCTTCTGCCCTACTTTTAGGGTGATGATGACAACGATGATAGTGTGCGAGATCTTAGAATGATCATTGTAGATTCTGTAGCAGGAGTGATTTCCCCCATTCTTGGTGGCCAACAAATTCATGGTACAGTACATAATTATATCATTGTTTTGGCTGTTTTCATGGTCATAATTTGATCCAAGAACTAGCGGCAAGGGGCGACCTTAAAGTCTGTTTAATCAACAGCGTTGTCTGTAGGTTCTGAGCACCTTTCCTCGTAGGTGTGAACCCAGAAGTGGGTTATGTTTATATGAACTAGTTGGCAAAAGTTAAAATACTGCTAAATCCTTTCGCAGAAAAAAATGACAATAAAATGGATTTGGCGCTGGCTTACATAGGCTTAATTTGTTTTATTCTGTATGTAAACGGAAACCCAAGGCAACTTTTAGCTCACCCTCTAGATTAATCCTGTGTCTGAAAGTATATCCCAAAAGAACCTCTTAATTCTTGAAGTCCTGTAGAGTTTGTGGCAAATTTCTACGTAAATAGATTAGAAATCTCAATTGACGCGTCCTCACTTTGTCCATCTCAGGTCACTCCTTGATGGTGAACCTTTCAAGAACTTTGAAGGCTCTGGCAGTTGAGCATTCAGTAGCAGTTGTGGTACGTTAACCTTATACTGGCATGTCAATAAAACTTTGTGAGAACAAAACTAGCACCTTGGCAAGATTTTACCAACTGTCAGGTTTGCTCAGTTAGTGATTTTTTATATTTTTGATGTGTTTTCGTTTGCATCCTTTAGATTACCAATAATGTGGTCACAGACTCTTCTAAGTCTGCGTTTTCCACCAAACCTGCCCTGGGACCAACCTGGGCCCATGTTCCAAACACCAGATTGTTCATACGGAAGAACTCTTCATCCCAGGCTGACAGCTCAGAAGTGGAAAGAATTGCCACTATAGTCAAGTCTTCAAGACAGGTAAGGTCACGTGGTTATTAAAACTACCACTCTTACCCTCCCCTTCCATACTCTTTCCCTACTGTACCTCCCTCGTTTCACCTTTCCTTTAGCCCTAATACTTCATATAGAGGGAGTATTTAGAATCAGGTTAAGTAAAAGAATGATAAAACTTTTTCGCAGCAAAGATTCGACGAAATGTCAGCTTCTGGAAATCGGTTAGTACGAATTCCCTGATTGGCTGATAACAGTCGAGAGTGCGTCAGCTCTTGCAAATCATTTTAAAGTACGAATTCTCCGATTGGTTGGTAAGATTCACAATCAGTATTTCGTAGTTCATTCGATCTTTCACACCTCCTACCCGCGGGGTACTTTGATGAGAAAATCCCTGCCTCTAAATTAATTCATCCAGCTCTTATAAAGTTAAAGTCAGCCTTTGATCTTTTGCAGAAATTACAAGTGTCCTGTGCTTTTTACATCGATCATGGCGGACTCTACAGTCGCAGACCAGCCAGTCATAACTAAACACAAACGTAGCATTGTTGTTCAACTGAGAAATGCAAGTTTCTAAGATCCCAATTGATAAATTGTAGTGTTGACTGAGAAGTCAAATTCTTCAAGTTCTCGTGCAGCAGTGTTCGATAGTGTTCTCGTGCAACAGTGTTTGCGTTGCGGAGAACCTCACTCACTGTCGGTTAACGTCAATTGTGTGCGAACTGGAAAAATTTCCTGTTGTTAAGAAATGTGGTTTTTAGAGAAATCAAAAAGACCTCCCAAACCTTCTTCCGCGAGAAACAGACGTATAACTGAGAAGAGTAGAGCCCTTTCCGTTAAAAAATGAGAGCAGTATTTGCCTTAATAATACCAAACGTAGTGGTGTCCGAGAAAACCTAACAATGCTTAAATTTGCTAGAAACCTGTCATTAGTTCCGGACAAACTACATCTCCCTTTGGACTCTATCATTGTTTTCTTTATTTTACCGTAATTCTGAGTAAATCTCGGTAACTTATGGGTGTCTGGAAAACCCGAATAGCGAATAGCGAATAGTCGCGAATAGCGAACAGCGAATAGTCCCGAATAGCGAATAGCGAATAGTACGAATAGT